TGGTATCGGTTTAGCGACCACTATCATATACATTTTTTTTTTCCCATCCGCAGGTTATTTATTTTTTATTTCATTTTGCAATCTTTTGAGTCATGTACCCGATCTCGTCTGCCAAATGGGCAATAGAAATCCTATTTTCCATCGTTGATAACTTCCCCGTATACCTTTAGTCTCATTAATTTGATGGAAACATCTTGAATCACCATTGGAAGGATAATTTATGTTTCGTACTAGAGTTTCCTTCTAAATTCTTGAAAATACTAGAACGCATTAATTTCCATACAGTTTCGAAGTATCCATCAAAATGTTTCTCAAATGCATACGCTGTGTATTTAGCAATTTTAATATACTGAAATGGTATTTTTAAAACCATTCATTTTTTAAAAACTCTTCCGTAAAAGACATGGCGCACGAAATATTTTTCAACGATCTGTACCTTCTCGTTTGGCATATGCAATCAGATATTACTATGAGATCATATAGTAATATTTGATGGATCATGAGTAATAACGTTTTCTGAAGGAAACCATTTACGTAGAATCGTAAACTATCTACCCCTTCAATCATTTCAGGAGATAATAAATTATCCCAGCTTTAAGATTTTGAAGAATAAGGTGGAGATCTACATAATTTATCATTGCATTTGCTAATTAAACACACTGAATAAGCTCAACGTAGAATTATACCAGGAAAGATTTTTAATATGGAAAAGTTACTTTACATGAGCTATGTCTGCAATGTGTGTGTAAGAATATCAAACATGTGTAAAGTTCTTTCTCATATTCATATTTTACCAAATATCAAATGTTTCATTTTTGCCCAAAAAAACTGAACATTTGATATTTAATTAAAATATCAAATGTTCAGTTTTTTTTGGCAAAAATGAAACATTTGATATTTGGTAAAATATGAATATGAGAAAGAACTTTGCATTTTGTAGAGAAGTTCTATAAAAGAGCATATTCTTTCTAAATAAATAACCCTTATATATGAGTTCACTTCAGTATTACGTTATCTTCAACAGGAAAACGATACATAGTTTAGACAATCTATTCTCGATTATCCGGCTAATGCCAGGGAAATAGGTCACGGATAATTGAAACACATAAGATAATTCAAACTATGAATTTTCATGCATTTTATATGTGCTTATTTCTTAAAACAATCACCAATTGTACTTTGTTTTTTAATGCTTGTCGACTTTCACTGCATGTTTTTCAAAGTGCTATTTGATCACTGTATTCGAATACCCTTTGATCAACGAAATGCAACAGAGTGTTATCAGAAGTTATTGCTGTCTCGGGATTAATGTTATTGTCAGTATATTCTTCCACTGTGTTTCCAGTATCATTCTCTATCTCATCTGTTCTTGTGACATTTGAAACGATATCCGCATTCACTCAAGCATCGAAAGCCTGGCTCATCGAAACATTCCTCAATATCTTCCCAATCCACATTTTCGAAGAATTTTGCAATTAACATTTTTTGTCATACAACTGCTGTTATTGCCTCGACTTCTTTACAATCAGATAAATCTCCAATTTCTATGTTAGGAAATATCTCTGTCTATAATCGAAATTTCGCGTGTTTGTTTTGCACACACTCTCATGTGTGGCTTTCAGTGTGTGTGCAATAAAGCGCAAACCGGATATTCCGCACTCGGATAATCGAGAGTACGCTGTACCTCCATTTTCTTTTGCTGATATTCTTTAATGGCATAAATATTTCCAATGAAATTACATTTGCTACACATATTTAGCCGCATCATTTTCATAAGTTTGTATTTATTTTAAAATCTCAGTTACAATAAACATATATGCAGATGCTTGAAAAGATTTCAAAACAAAAGAGCTTTTGGAAGTTTGGTCATATATTTTTTGCTCAAATTTGAGAAAAGAATCAAATAAAAGAAGATCTCTGAGAAGGGCATTTATGGTGGCATGACGTCTTTCAGTAAATATATACAAAATTTTAATTCTTTTACAGGCCCTTTAAAAGAAAAATTCCAATTAGTAATTTTATCTTTCTCGTACCAAAGACTTTTAATGAGAAAATGGTCCGTGAAGAGCAAAATATTCGCCTAACAATTATGAAAATTATATGAGCTACGCACTTTTTCTCTCTCTAAGAAGAGGGTAACCGAAAAAGTCAGTTTTATAGTCACATAAAATTTAATTACTTTAGATATAAAAATTTTGAATTTTATCATTTCTGAAAAAGAGAATTTAAGGCCCTTGTTTTGGTATGATTGTTTTTCTAAGCTTAACAGTGTGCTTTAGGAATTCGCACTGGAAAACTTATATCCCTTGCATGCTTTGCCATATCCTAATCCCTTCAATTATTTTCGCGCTTTAAAAATTTCGGAATATTACAGAATTCTACATTTGTCGTGTTTGCATAATTTCGGTAATATTTTAAGACAAAAATAATTCTATACTAACGAGCATATTATGTAACTTGAGTTTATTTTAATATTGTTCATAATCGGGTCATTTGCATTTTCTTCTTGCACAGTAATATAGTAAGAATGGGAAGCAGTACATATAACGGATAAGCAAATATAATATCATGGCAGGCAGTTTTAAAAAAGAAGCTTAGGATGTGAATATTAATAAAAAATTAAGGACTTGAAACTAAAAAATGATTAGAACGATTCTTTTGTTATTTTTCGTATCCTCGAACATATTCTTGACAATTTCTCGATGTTTGCAATTAATATTCATAAAACTATTAATGCAAATTGGCGGATAAATCTGACCAACAAAGTTATTATGATTTCATACGGGTTTTATTTTTATTCTTTTTAATATTAAAAAACAGCTTCTTTTCCATATATTGAAAGTCTTTCATGATAAAATATATGTGTGTAAATAACTTCTTCGTTTACCGGAAGTTCTGTTTTTCTGTATTTTAACGGAATATTCATTTTTAAAGGGCGTAGCTTAGATCTTCATCTGTTTTTAAAGGAATCTTCGAAGTTATTTTGCCGTTTATCAACCTCATTCGATTTTTCAAATAACATTTGCTTTGAATATAATTCTTTTTGTAACTCTTTATTCGTTCAATTTATATATTTTAATTTTCAGCATTTCCAACGAAATTTAAATCCTGAGTGTTATAGATACTCATTTTCAATGAAAAAATATGATAAAATACTCATTTTCAATGAAAATCATTTTTATTCATGTACAAAGTCTTATATCTGATGCAGTTACGCGGTTGTACTGTAACTGGAAACAACTATTTAAATCCTGCAGACCCTACTAGACTTCTAGTAAGTCACATATTAGTCTTAAACAAACCACAATCTCTGAAGAAGATTAAAATAACATTTTTATTTAGTCTCAAACTGAAAAGAAATGACACTGCTTGTGCTACAACGAACTTTCGCCACTTTGCGAGTATTTAAATTAATATAATAGAAACTTGAATTTCAAACGTAGATAACGTAGTCGGAGGCTGCACATAAAGTACTCTAATCAAGCTTGACTCATAATTTTGCCGAAGAGTATTTTAGAACATCTGCTAGCAAGACGCTAAAGCCGAATACAAATTTAAATAGAGTTGACAACAGTTAAGTAACAGCAAGACGCGGCTGCCAGAGGCTCTCGATGAAACACTCAAAACGTAAATACACAACAAAAACCTAGAGGAATACGGAAAAAAAGTTACAGTAAAAGCTTAAATCATAATAATTGGCTACTTAAAATAAAATACCTTACACAGTTTTAAAAACACGAGTTAGGTTCACATTTAAATACAAATTTCTTTATTAACCCCAGTCCCTATTGAAGGCAAGTATCCTCCAAATTGGTAAACTTCGGATCCCCACTAGAACATTTCTTACTTACCAAATACCCTGATGCTTTAAACGCAGCTGAGATCATAACTTGAAAAAAACATTTTTTAAATTTATGCTCCAAAACTGAATCTTATTTTCCCCAATTTGTTCATAAAAGTAACCTATCAAAGTATGGGTACTTGTTTTAATTAAGTTTTCACTTTGTCTACTTTTATTAAAATAGAAAAGTTAAGGATTTTGGCATTTCTGTGATAAAGAAAATGAGACATGGTGAGAAAATTTCATATTTCAAGTCTTTTTTCAGAGATAACAAATATTATTTAAATATTATTTGTTGCCTCTGAAAAAAAGAGCAAGCATTTGCATTCAAGCAAACAAAATTGTTTAGTTTTAAACAACAAATAGTTTTAAACTAAACAATTTTATTTGCTTGAATGAAGTGGTAGCTGAAAGCATGTTCTTTCCTTAGACCAGAGTTTCTTAAAGTGGGTCGCGACCACCATGGGTTCGCAGGACTTGCAGCAGGGGTGGCCAAACATTTTAGTAGTTTTGATATTTCTTTAACTTATTATAATAATTTTACAGTTACCAAATATTTTTACTCAGGGCATCTGAAAATAGATAAAGACAATACAGACAAAGAAAAACCGAAAGCGTTTCGACGCATTCTCATTATAAAATAAACATTCATTTTACTTGCTTTGCACCTGACGCTGTCATTTCGTCTTTTATTTATTTAAAATTTTCATATTGTTGTCTTAAAATTAGAAATTAAAGTTAATGACCTAAAACTGCAATAGTATATTACAGTACAAGTGAAAAAATTGACAGTTTCACTCACGTGTGTGTCTGATTAACTCAATGCTTATGGGGTCCCCCAAAATTTTCGTAAGTATTATGGCGTCCTGGGGTCGCGAAAAAAATCTCAGTGATAAAAAGGGGTCGCGTCTGAAAAAGGTTTAAGAAGCCCTGCCTTAGACTATTCTACTGTTTTGTAAGCTAGAGTTATAAAAAATCACTTTACTCTAAATAGTTATTTTTTATCATGAAGAAGGAATGCTCATATTAATTGCCACAAAAATAAAATAAATGATAAATGCCATATAACCGTTTTTCCGACCTCTAGCTTTTCTCTTTCTTAATATAACTGCAAAATTACTATTATAAATGGTGCTTTTACATAAGAATTTTTTTTCAGTACGTGTGTGAGCAGTCGCAACAGCAGTGGAGGTAGTAGTCCTGACACTCGATCTTGTGAAAGTAGTCGATCGGCAAGAAACAAGCCAAAAGGTGACATCCGAAAGGGACATAATAGTAAGTTCATCTTTTTAACCTCCCACCAACATATATACACAGGTAAAATATGTAATGTTTTCGTTCGAAAAATTTGATAGTGGGCTTTCAGTGAATCAGCACGAAGTAGAGTGCCGACAGCACATTTTTACTGTTTTTACAATGATATCTATCTGTTTGTACGTCTCTCTGCCTGTCTGAGGTTGGCGAGTTTTTCTTCCGTAATAGCTGCTATACGAAACTTCCAACAATTATTTTTTCTATGTTTTAACTTTTCTGCATTCAAAGTTAAAAGAGTTAATTAGATTTTGAGTAAAACTGGGCAACCAGAAGTCGTTTATTAATTGAATCCAATAACAGTTTTTAATGGGCAGTTTAAATTGGTATTGATTTAAAGCACAAAAAATTTTAATGAAAAAATTATTGCATTAAAATATATTAGTGTGCAAACTTAAGTGAATTTGCAAATTATGTCTGCTTTTACAAAAGGTATTGAATTAAAGCTGCTAATTATGTCGCCGAAGAATTATACAAATATTCAGAGTCGAATACGTAAGTGTGCAAGTGCGTGTCTGCGGAGCTGTGATTGTGGAGAGCATATGAACGTAAGAGGGGTTTTCGGCAATTTGTGTGCTCGTAGTTCTTCACAACATTTCGCCGCGTTCTTGGAAGAGTTTGGTAAGTTTTATAAGGTATCAGGTAAAATGAGTAGAGACGAACGTTATGCATGATGGAATGAATGGAAAATTGTTTGTAGATGATTGGAATTAGGCCAATCACAAGCGCAGGTGGCTACAGACACCAATGTAATGCCCAGATTCGCCTGCAATTCATGGAAGCTGTTTCAGGACACTGGATTCATATCAAGAAGACCTAGATTAGGTCGAACAAGATCCACAACGACGAATGTTATTCGGACTACGTTATTTCGCACTGTCAACTCGGTGAAAACAGGACTGCTACAGCTTCCCAGCTCTTACGTGAGCTGTATACTGCCATATTTATTAAAATAAAAGATAAACAACATGAAATATAAGTATTCCTTCAGTATACTTCAATAAACAATTAAAATTTTAATGCGGACCTTGTCCCTCCATCGCTCTGCTTAATATCCCAATATCAGGGGTATAATTTGTGACTTTCAATTTTACACGTGATTCTGCAATTAAATCTCTCGGGCAATGACATTTAGCAATTCCAAATAGCTGTCGATTCATCGTTACAATTATCTTCAAGATTTTTTTCGTTATTCCGTAAATTTTGCATTTCATAATTCTTTATATGTTAGTTTAATAAGTTCTATTACAAAATTATAAGGTTTCATCCACTCAAAAATTGTGAAATCGGTTGGGATTATTAATGGGTCTGTTAAACCTGGTTTGATTAAGAAGCCAAATATAGGCATAAAAGTCTTTGCGTCTTTTGGAAAATTCCTCCTAAAGTGCTTCGACATAGGTTTGAAGTTCATCTTTGTCTACGGTCGATGTATTTGCAAGCGCTTTAACATTTGGGAAGTATTTGAAAATACTGGTATTAATATCACAAGAAAATGTATTTAATTTTGTAGCAAAGACTTTCTAATATTCAAAATGTTCGCTGTTTAGGCATTTCCTTGCAATCCTTAGTTTATTCAGATGTTTAGTTATATCAATCAGAAGCATCAATTTGCATAATCATTCTTTATCGTCCGATTTGGGGAAATATTTTTTTCTTTTCATTTAAAGAAAAACTTTAATGTGTTCCATGCGTAACACAAACTTATTCAAGACATTACCCCGACTAAGCCAGCGGGACATGGCTGTATAAGGGGACATCCACATATTCACTTTCCATTTCATCTAAAAGAGATTAAAATAGTCTGTGTACCGGTGAAGGACGGGACACTATGAAAGTAACTATTTTAACAACAGTGTTGATTACAGAAATTAACCGCTGTGACGAAATTTTGGTAACTAAACTCTCCTGATGTATTATGCAATGAAAGTTCGATACTTTATATCCAATATGATTTTCAAATCTTCTTTCCTTGCCAACTATTGCAAGAGTGCTATCAGTAGTTGAACAAAATATTTTATTCATATTAATGTTTTGACTTTCAAAATAATTTATAAATAAAGAAAGAATATCATGTTCTCTAGTTGTCCCAGCAGAGGAATCGAGCTGCGTAATTCTACATCAACTCGATCGTTATCATAATATCCTGCCACTTACTGCAAGGCACGCAGCATCATTCACATCGGTATTTTCATCAAGAATAACTCTAAATGCAACAGTTTCGTGTAATCCAGAATTATGTTTTGTTGCTATATTTCCTGCCATTAAAGTTATTCGTCTTTCAATAAGTTCGCGCAGAAACCGGTCTTTCTTGAATTCGGGATAATATTGTTTGTAGATTTGGTAAATCTTGAACAATATTTTAACACTTTTTAAAATATTTTGCTTTATATATTCGCCATCTGTGAAAGATTTGCCTTTGACAGCTACACAATGAGCCATTACGAAACTGCCTTCAGTCGCTTCGGTTCCAGTTGTTTGACAAAAAAAAAAAAAAAAAAAAAAAAAAGGAACTTGTTTCATATATCCAGTAACAGCTCTTTTTATAACTTTACATTTCTGATCAGAATTCAGCAATGGGGATTGATAGTTCAGTTTAAAAACGTTTTTGTATACTTTAGGTGTGACATACTACAGTTTCGCGACATACACACATACAGCACGATCCTTTTTCTGTACGAATCCATATTCATTCGTCCAAGAGTCTAGAAAACTCCGAACATCAAGCATTCATTTTTAGTGGCCATTTGATTAAATTAAATATGTAGAATTGGATTGTCACAATAATTAAACAAATAAGATACAAGTTTTCACAATAAAACTAAGAAAGTGTCCTAAAGTTAAAAGTAACCTACAGCGGACGACCTTCATCAAACTAATTTCTACTTTTGACTGAAATCATACGCCATACTCATGTATCAGCGCGACGAACCGAACCAAGGAGAAATAATCCGTGAGGCGTGTGGTGGGACGGCGCAGAGAGGAGAGACAGGGCGATTTATCTTTATTTGATAATTTTGTAGAGGGGTGCAGAGTGCCACTGAGAATGGTACCTCGCACCAAATCTGCCCCACGTACCATAGCATGCCGACGCCTGCTCTACACTTTATTGAAGAATACATACATTGCAAAATATATTTACTTTTATGTTTTATTTTTGCATTAAAAATATTAAGAAATGATTTATTCCTACTTACCTATTCTTAAAAATTGCGCTAACCACATATCAAGATACCTTTGGTTATAGTTGAAGCTTTTATTTGAACTGAATTTTGTTTAATGTATCAAAAAGCAATATATTCGTATTAAAATTTTAGAAACAAAACTTTTAACAGGTAAAATGAATAACTGTATAGTAAAACATCCTATTTGTTATTTAATAAGTATATTTCCATTTTCCCCGATCAGTAACTGCTTTAAGATGTAGAGACATGAGGATTTTTAGGAGCAGGCAAGATGAAAAATTAGCAGTCGCCTTCGCCGGGAATCGAACTACGGACCTCTGGAATACCGGCCCAGCGTGCAGAAACACTACACCACAAAGGCACGCTAGGAAGGCGGGAGAAATACCTTATATACTCCCCCTTTTAAAAGGGCGACTGGGGTTTTAGGGTACCCAATCGCCAAATCCTGGGTGTGGAGAATCCTCATCCAACACCCTTTTAGTTCGGGCGCCACTGTAGAGACATTAGGTATTTTTTGGAAGCAGGAGAATTGAAAAATTAGCAAACACCTTCGCCGGGAACCGAACCGCCGACCTCTGGAATACCGGTCCAGTTTGCAGAGCCACTACACCACGAAGGCACGCTAGGAAGGTGGTAGAAATATCTCATAAAGTGGCTGATGCTTCATGGTATGTTAAATGTGATCCATTATAGACCTTTCTCTTTATTGGAGTAACAAATTATATTTTATTTATAAACGATCAACCGGAAGTGGTACTTTACTTTAAAGCTAGTTGCTATTTAAACCTGGATTTGGCGGGAAGTCATGTTCTGGTCACATCAGACTTTTTTAATCATAAAATAATACAGAAGTAATTTTTAAAAATAATTGTTATGTTTTACTTTGTAAAAGTACAGCATCACATGGAAAGAAAATAGGAAATTTGATATCATATTACTTAGATTAATTACAGAAACTGAAAAGTGGATTGAAAGTACAACAATTCGTAAAACATTTTTATGTGTTAAATATTTTAAGTGCTGAGGAAGCTGTTGCTCCTTGAACTTAAAAACAAGTGCTGTTTAAAATTAAATATTTCTTCGTGAAATGAGGAAAAATAAGACAGTCACACTTAGTGGGCTTACAATTTATGCCGCATGGCAGAGACGATTACCTTCGTCGAAAATCTTGTCCCTTAACTTAAATAAATATTTGTATATTGTATGAAGAGGAACGCTGTATACAGAAACGTTCAACCATAAAAAAGTTTAAAAGAGAAAAGATTATTATCACGTGAACCGTTAACTCTTAATATTAGAACAATATTAAAATTTTCAGTATTTTTGTATTAAAATGTTATTATAATTAAAATTACTCATTAAATGGACATTAAAATTTTGAGTTAAGAAATTAATTTATCAGTTTATTATGAATTTTTTTGTTTAATGCTCATTTGTTTTAACGTCTTTGATGAGAAATTGTTTTAATTCTCATTCTAAGACTTTTATATCTTTCTTTTTCATTAATTATCATGTGGTGTTGTGTGGCCCCGCACTTGCCCGCAACAGTAGTAGTGACTGCTATGACCTGGAAATTACACAAACTCTTAAGAAGGGTTTAACTCCTTTTTATTCCACTTTAGAAGTTACAAATGCGTTCACTTGACGCTCACAAACTACGCCGACCCGGCAGTTAAATAAAAATAAGAAAGTACAACTAAAAATGAATATAAATAACAAGTCACTCCCTACGAGGCTCTATAAACGTGACTAACTTAACCGCGTTCTAAGATACAGCTGAGA